GCTCTAACATGTTTCTCATGTTGCTGGAGGTTGTGGGAATAAATGAGGATGTCATCCAAGTAGACAAAAAACACACACATTGAGAAAAATCCCTTAGGACATCATTAATCAGGGCTTGGAAAACAGCTGGTGCATTGGTCAAGCCAAAAGGCATGACCACATACTTGAAATGTCCCAAGGTGTCTTGAAGGCTGTCTTCCACTCGTCACCCTCTTTTATCCGAACAAGATGGTAAAAGCGTTTCGAAGATTGAGTTTAGTAAAGACGTGGCCGAGTGGAGCTGATCATGCACAGAATCTAACAAGGGTAGTGGATACTTATTTTTAACAGTGATTTGGTTAAGGCCCCTGTAATCAATACAAGGTCTAAGGGATTTGTCCTTCTTGGCGACAAAAAAGAATCCTGCCCCAAGAGGAGACTTGGAGGGGCGGATTATACCAGAAGCTAGGGAGTCGTCGATATAAGTCTTCATGGCTCCTTTTTCGGGGCCAGAGATATTGTATAAAACGGCTGGAAGGTAATGGTGAATCGGGTAACAGTTCTATGGAGCAATCATACGGTCTATGGGGAGGTAATGAGAGTGCTTTATTTTTACTGAAAACGACTGCTAGGTCATGATACACCTCAGGAACAGAAGACAGATCCGTCTCCTTGACAGGTTCCTCCCCTTTAATGGAGGGTGAAACGGCTGACTTTAAACTGTTTTGTAAACAGAATGAACTCCAATTTTCAATTCTTTTTTCCTTCCAATTAATAACTGGATTGTGGGTGGACAACCACAGAAAGCCAAAAATGAGTTGTGGAGATGTGAAGTCAAAGACAACAAACTCACCCAGATCATGATGATTACCGGACACGATGACATGTAGGTTGGGCCCCAGTTGGTTGACTTGTGACAAGAGTTGTCCAGTGACACCGGCGATGGAGCGTGGAGGATCAAGAGGTGAGGTGGGAATATTGAGTTGTTCCACTAAATCATTGGAAATCAGGTTTTGTTCTGCCCCAGAGTCCACAAGAGTGGAGATGGGTAGTTTGATCTGTCCACAAACTACAGTCGCAGGCAAAAAAAACAAGGAGGTAGGGGGAAAGTTGTCAGGTCTCGTCAACTTCCCCTGTTCTACTGACGAGACGGTCCGTTTCCCCGCAGGGGGCAGGTRGCGACGAAGTGTCCCTTGTTTCCGCAGTAGATACACAGCTTAGCAGCAAACCGTCTCTGTCTTTCCTCAGGAGACAACTGGGTGCGTCCAATTTGCATGGGTTCGGCAGAATTAACAGCAGCTGTAGCGTGAGGAGGAAACTCACCACTGATTGCGGAGGCGGAAACCCGCAGTGTCTGGGAAGTGTAGTTTTTTCCTTCCTTCGCTCTCTTAATCTATTATCAATACGGATGGTCAATGCGATTAATTCATCCAAGCTTCCGGGTTTGTCCCGGGAAGCCAATTGATCTTTAAGTTGTTCAGATAAAGAGTTTATATAAATACCTTTTAAGGAAAGTTCCTCCCAACCCACCTCTTCCACTACAATGCGAAAATCCACAGAGTGTTCGGCTGCCGATTTACTTCCTTGTTGTAGATTGATCAGTCTTTGCGCTGCCTCCTCCTGCTGGAGGGGAAGATCAAAAACACGCTGGAACTCCTGAATGAACAACTGAGAGGTGAGTGTATCCAAAGAATGAGCTGAAAGAAAGACTTGAGCCCATCTGAGAGCTTTTCCCTTTAAAGCAGACACAATGTAAGTAACTCGGGCAGAATGAGTAGGAAAAAGTGAAGGTGAATGAACGAAAGCCAAACGGCACTGTAATAAAAATCCTCCACACTGATTTACTGTATATCTCCATCAAATAATTCAGAGGGTCGGATGTCAGGTTCTTTCACAGGAAAAACAGGTGGACTGGGCGTGGTAACAGGAGGTGTAATTGGGTTAGGGGAAAAAACCGTGTTCAATCTACTATCAATGGCAGCAATGCGATGAGTGACTTGATTTAATAATGCGCTGGTTTCCTGTTGAAGCTGAAATAACTGATTAAGCTACTGGTCATTATCTAACGTTGTAGGGTCAGGTTGATTATTAACCCCGGGAGTCTGATTGTCAGAGGTATTGCTCACGGACATTTTACTTGGCTGAAGCATACTATCAGATTTACAGGTGGAGGTCAACGTGAGCAGTACCAGAGACAAACAGAGACGGAGACCAGAAATACAAAAGGTAAGTGATTTTATTTTTACAGGTGCGGGAGGTGTCTGGGGTCTGGACCTGGAACAGAATGATTACAGAGGTGAGTATTTGATTATCTTCCAGTAAATGTCTTAAGCAGGTAAGTAAAATGGGTGAGTTCTTATGGGGTGGGGCWGGAGATGAAGCATGGAGGAGTTGGTCCAAAAAGGTGAGGATCCAGAGGTGAGTATTTACAGGTGAGTAGGTATTTACAGTGAAACGTGGGAGGCAGCGCATGAGATACTGGTGAGAGGCTCTGAGTCCAAGGCGGCAGGCAAAAACGTGCTGGAGATTACTTTCTGCAAACAAGTAAATACAAAAACCCAGGTAATACAAAAACTCTTGGAGAGAGTAATAGGCAGCAGGCTGAGCTCATACCAAACATGAGGCGATGCTTCAGCGATGAGTTGATCTTCATCACTGCCTTAAGAAGCCTGGAGGTGATGAGCCAAATCGTATGCAGGTGTGGGTGATCAGCGCTGCAACCAATCATGGAGGCAGGGGGTGGAAACACCAAAATGCCTCACTATATTCTTCTTTTTAAGAAGGTTATTTAAGTTTTCTTAAATATAATCCTGGAAAGCTGATAGCATCTCCCTGAATCTCATTTATATTATGTTTTTTATTTGCATTTGTGGACAAACTGAAAGCTCGTGTCCATTGAGTACATTTTGTGACTCAGTTCTGTTTGTGTTTTTAATGCGGTGCCCCCGCATGACCTGAAGATGACAGGCATTTAAATAATGGTTATCAGTCTAGTCTGCTGAGTACWTCTAGATTTTCTACATTTGTAAATATTATTGTAGAAGACAATATCACATCTCTTTCTGCTAAATTATTTCAATCATATTTCTGTCATTACATGAATTGACATTACCAAATTTCCCTCTGGCATCAATAAAGTATTTTTTGAATTGAATTGAACTGAATTGAATAAGAAGCATATGTCAATACAAAAATGACAACCCCTGTCTATTAGCAACGCAGTAAGGATTTTTAGTGATCTGAAAATGATTGCAGCCTGTTATAATGTGCCTAAATATCACAGTTGTTCGGGAAATGAGGTGAATGCCCAAGATCCACGGTGAATTAAAGGAAATTTTCCCTGAAAAGCTCCTCCTGGCTGGTCTCCTGCTTTGAGCGACGTGGTTAGTATAAAGTTGCAGCAGCCCTGAAGTGAGACCACCCACTTGTCCCAGTTTTCACGCCCCCTACTCTGACATTTAGAACATGCATTTACAATGCCACTGGAACACACAGGGACAGCTCTGAGTTTGAAATGTAAAAGCTGTCCGGTGACGAGTTGGTCTGGGATGAARTCAGCGCGTTAAAGTGTAAAGCTGCAGGAGTTTATCAGTCTGCCTCTGCCTGTGCACTCAGTGCATTCCTCTTAATCCAGCAGCATTGATTTTTCMCTACTGATGTAAAGTCAGTCAATTTTGTTAATGATTTAGGGCTTAGTGCTTTTTGTAGGTTCACTCCAGCAATTACAACCCCTCCTGTGTAATTATATATAATATATTTAGTTATATATGTATATTATATATTTAGTTATTCATTCCAGAAGGGTGAATGGGAGAAAATATTCTGATAGTTTTTATTCTAAAAACTATATTGTTTTTCTATCTTGTTTGTTACTGAGCCAAACAAGATCTACTTTGCAATTTACGGTAGCTATCGYTAGCTTTTTATTTTAGTTTTACTGTTTTTTTTTTCAAACTTTTGTCAATAAAGTTTATATCTCTGTCTCACTAGTTTTTTAAGATTTCTTTGCTTTTTGAGTTACCTTTGAATTTATGAGCAGCTGCATAGAAAAAAGAGCAGTAGAGAGAGCTGCCCAGATCCAGGCTGGGATTTTTTTTATTATTATTATTATTTTTTTTGCAAAGAATCTGTGAATTGTTA